GTACTAGATAAAGCTCATGGATAAAAATTTCATGATTCCTTCATATAATGTGAACATCATTAAATAATTAAAACTTACATGTATGAAATTACATCATGGAATACTTTTCAGTGATAACCCATTTTATTTATTCTTTAAATATTATATAGTATATTAGGATAAAAGTATGTAGAAGTAAGATAAAAATGTAAGCTTAATGACAAAGGGAAATAATGTAAAATTTCCAACTGTTAAAGAAGATCTTGTATATATGTATAAATATATTTTTTTAAATAGATGATGATGGCTATCAGATTGCTTGGAATTTTGATTCAATTGGATATTTTAGAAAGAGTATTGCAATAGTTTATTTTTAAATGTCTCTATTATTAATCGTATGCTGGAAATCACCTTTGCAATTATTTAAACATACGAAATATTTTAGACATACCTAAAAATTTTGTGAAGGGATACATGCTTTTAAAAAAATTCTCCTAGGGAACAAGCCAAAAATCTTTGAAGAGAATTCAAAGAATCTTTAAAAACTCAAAACCAAACCTCTTTTGCTTCACAGATTTACTGGGCTGGAAGAACAAGCAGGGTATTTTTTGGTCCACCTCTGCCCTTTTCAAAGTCCTGTGTCTAGGTCCCCTTCGACAGTGTTCAAACACAAAAATGTCTGTGCGTCTGAGGAGCCCTGCCAGTGACGTCACTCAGCTAGGTGTAGGCTCCTATCTTCTGACCTTAGATTCCCCTTTGGAGCATGAGGATTAAGAGCTGCTGTCTTCCTTTCCAAAGTTTTCCTTTCTTGGTCGTTCTGAGGATTCATGAGTTAAACATTTGTTAAGTACTTTGCAATATTTGGCTGAAAGTACAAAGTCTTCTTTATTATTGTTGGATGGATGAAAGGCTTTATACAAGTGCAAAGTATCATTTTCTTTCCAGGCATACAGCATTATCATGCCTATCCCCCAGGAAACTCATGACCCCATTCTCTTGCAAGGCCTCTTCATTTACATAACCAACCACAAATTGAGCTAACAAAGAGCTCCTGGGTGGGGATTTGTACTTTCTCCTTTTCTCCAGAGAGTTTCTCTGCCTGTGAGATGTGATAACTTTTTCTTAATTAATAGTCCTTATTCCGTTCTCCTACAGCATGGGTCTGTGGGAGAGAGTTCGATCCTGGGTAGTGAGCAAATCAAGGGGATTGAGTTCTTATTTTGATTACTATTTTATCCTTGTCTACTCATGTGATCCTGGAAAGTCACTTCCCTTCTGTGAACTTCATTTTCCTCATCTATAAAATGGGGGAGTTGGAATAAGTAATTTCTATGATTCCTTCACACTTAAGATTTCCTCCTAGCATGAGAAAAATTTCCTTTTCAGCATGAGAATGCTGAAAAACTGCTCTGAAAATTCCAGCATAGTGGTGTGTATCCTTTGGTAATATGCAACATACATCAAAAGAAGGACAAGTGAATTAAATGCACAAGAGATATTGTTTTCCAAATAACTATAGGCCAGAGTTCTTTATTTAATTCCAGTTTTCATAGTAAATGTGCTTTATGCTGTAAGATCTATGTGGCTGCTTGCTGGTGATGGTAGAAGTGATGATGGTGGTGATAGTAGTAGAAGTGGTATTGGTAGTGGTGGTGGTGGAGATGGTGGTGTAAACTTCACAGGGACCTGGAATGAAAACACCTAGTTTAATGCTTTCATCACAGAGTTTGCTGCTCTTTATTGTGCCTCCAATACTTTAGCACACACCTTGCACAAAGCAGGAACAAACATCAACAAATGTTTAGTGAAAGAGTATCTGGCATATGACTACAGATGCATCTTGCCCTAACATCTAAGGCAAAAACTAATACTCAGGTTTAATTTCATTTGATGTAACAGGCTTTCTAGGGAAGCTACGAAAATACTATCACTGAAGTCATTTTAATTGGTGTTGCTCATACTTAACTCCCTAGGGAATGATGAAAGCTTGTCTGGATTAAAGAAGGGCCTGTTTTCAAAAGTAGTGGAAAAAAGGCCACTAAAGTAAAAGCCACTCAAAATGGGATCAAAATTTCATAGGATGAAGTTTGACTTGCACAATACCATTAGAACTAAAAATTATAAAAATTTTAAATCATATATAACAAAATTTAGGTTACTGTAGAAGTTAGGGACTGGCCCTTGAAATGTACAAGTACTGAATCAAATACTCGTTTTTTTGTTTTGTTTTTGGAGGGCACATAATTTTTTCAACAAAAGTTAGCAATGTTCTTCATATAACATGCAGAAATACTGAAAGTTTCAACAATTTTCCCTAATGTCTTTCTTACTCTTAGGGTTTTGAATAATCCCATTAATATGTGGTCATCCTTGCTGATTTTTTTTTTCAGTTGCTAACTCTTCTACCAGTTACACAAGATTCCAAATACAGTAGTCTCCCCTTATTCTTGTTTTCACTTTCTATGGTTTCGGTTACCCACAGTCAACTGAAAGCATATGATCCTCCTTCTGAGATACTGTTAGATGGTCAAGAGTAGTCTAATACTACATCATAATGCCTATATCATTCACCTCACTTCGTCTTTTTACACAGGCATTTTGTTATCTCACATCGTTACATGAAACAGAGTAGAGTGGAGTAAGATATTCTGAGGGAGAGAGACCACACTCAAATAACTTTCATTACAGTTTATTATAATTTTCTGATTTTGTTATTGGTTATTATCAATGTCTTGCCATTGCCTAATTTATAAATTAAACTTTATCATAGGTATGTATGTAGAAGAAAAACATAGCAATATATAGGACTTGGCACTATTTGTAACTTCAGGCAGCCATATGTCTTGGAACATATGCCCCTGGATAAGGAGGGATTACTGTATCCTTTAAAAATAATTGACTTAATGAAATCTTTTATCTTTCACAACATTTACCTTTTCATTTTGCATTGTATGGGTATATACTTAAAACTTCCAACAATGAAAGACACTCTCAGTGTAAATGGAAGGAGATGCTTGAGTGCATATTAGTGAATATTTTCATTATATGGTGACTTTTCCTTTCCTATATCACAGTGTTTTAGTAGAGCTCCTGGTAGTCAACATTCAGATTACAAAGATACTTTGTATTCACTCAGCTACCATCTGTGACATTATTGAAAGAAACTTACAATGGCAGAAATATTTTCCAAAGATGGCTATAACAATATTTCTCACTTCCACATGCTCATCTTCCCAAGTGACCTCACTCCTCTCTGATTAAGAGGTGACATCTCTATCCTCCCATTCAACCTGGGTGAATGTGTGACCTTTCTGCCAATAGAATGTGGTGGAAGTGACTATGTAATTTCAGAGGCTAGATCATAAAGGGTGATATGGCTTCTGCCTGGCTCTCTCTGTCTTAGGACACTTCTCTTGGAACCCAGCTACCACAGCATGAAGAAACCCAGGCCACCTTGAAAGGCCACTTATAGGTACTCCAGCTGATAGTCGTAGCTAAAGTCTCAGACAACAGCTGGAATCTGTCACAAGACATGTGAGTGAGGCAGCCTTTGAAATGACTTCAGCCCCAGCCACTATCTGATACCAAGTACATGAGATACCCTAAGAGACCACTGCCTAGCTGAGCTCAGTCAATCCCCAGGACCATGAGAGATTATATTAACAAATTATTACTATTTCTAAATCATTTCAGACCCCTAAGTTTAGGGTGGCTTGTTTTGCAGTGAGATACCTGAAACATTTACTTAAATGTAATTGGCCTTTTAAGTGCTTCTAATTTAATAATGCTTAAAAATGGTAATCCTGGAACAAGAAAGGATTTCATAGTTCCTTATTGGGCCTACATGGGCCTAGATCTGCTACCCAAACCTAAATACTTTCAGAGTGGTGAGAAGACCAAGAAGTGGGTCTTCCTTTCCCTGAACATCCAGGCATTCCTATGAGGCCTACACATCATCAGCAAGATGACAGGAGCCTAGTCTGTGCTGTTAAGATCACTTCCCAACTAGAGCTGCGCAGGTGGGACTACGGTGTTCTGGCTTTAAAGGTAGCCGAGCCCTCATGTGATTGTTACTGGCTTCTCTTACCACTGGCTGCTATAGAGAAGCTTCCCACCCATTTCCCAAGCCTGGCCTCTAGATACAGACCAAGACCTTGACTCATTAGGCTTTATTCTGTTCTTGGACCTATTTTACTCCAGGTAAGGGGCCTAGTAAATATGAAGGACCAGCACTGGAGAGAAGATCTAGAGCAGGAGAAAAGGATCTGCCATTGAAATATCAAAAAAAGAAAGAGCAGAGGGGAGAATGACCGCCTGGGGTATAACCATCTGCCATATCCTTCTCTTCCTATTACCTAGTCATGGATTTCTAGATAGCGGAAGAGTCCAATGCCAGGATGGTAACATTAGGGGGCTGAAAGCAATTGTGTGGCAACATGGAACATGGTCTTTATATATATATATATATATATATTTTGTGTCAATTTGTGTCACAAAAGAACCAAAGGCTCATGTGGGCCCAAAGCAGCAGTTGAGTTTATGGCCTTTTCTAAGATAAGGGAAAGGGGAAAAGGAGACATTTATGAATTTTTGTTTGTTTTATTCTAGTTATTAGGTACCAGTTCAGTTCCAAGAAACAGAAATGAACTAAAATCAGTTCACATAATAATAGGATTTTATTGGTCTTATAACTGTATAGTTGTGGACTTGAGGAATTGTTACATCCAGGAGCTTAAAATAACATCTTTGAGGATTTATCTCTTGTTCTGTCCTTAGCAGCCCCATTCTGAAAGGGGCAGGATTCCAAGGGCATGATCCCTGAGGAATCTAGGTTTGAGCTGTACCACCAGGTAAGCAAGCTATTGAAACCTGCAGAGGTGACAGCATACAACATGGAGACTTTAGAGTTGATAGTGGAGAAGATAAATACCAGTTCTTGTCCCAAGACAAACTGCAGCATTAGGAGCTGTGGTTTGTATCACTAACCTCCCTCTTCTAAGTTTTTCCTTAGTGGGAGAAGTCCACAGACACTGGGAGAACTGCATGCCAAAAATGGGTAGAGTCTATGTGATGCAGTCTGTGTAGACTGTGGTGAAAGCCCTGTGGGGTCACTGTTTAGGGAATCCCTTCAATAGAGAAACTACTGTGAGGAGAGCAGTGAGCTGGCAGCCCCAGCTACCCCTCCTGTGACACCTACCACACTGTCCACACTGCAGGCCAGCAGTCCGCCGGTGCCAAGCATTTCTGTCCGTCCCAGGACCCCTCTCGTGGTCAGTCATTGTCTTGGAGCTGTCTCTTTCTTTCTTTCCTCCTTTCACAGGTGTCAGACCCACACTGATCTAAAGACTGCCCTGGCCTACTCTCCTTCCCTTTACCCTTTATTCTTGACAGGCATTTCCCCCAGTACATCTCCTGCTCATCTAATCCCATCCTGGCATCTGCTTCCTGGTGGATCTGAACTGACCTGCAAACCATGCTTGCTAGATCTTTCCCAAGTAGTCATCTTCTCTTCTCAATTTCTTTTTCTTTATGAATAGTTTGAACACTGAAAGTTAAACAGATTCCTGCCTTATAAATACAGGTATTTCTGCCAGCAAATTTACTGTAATTTTACTCTGAAGAGGAGTTACAGGATGTTTGTGTCTTCTAGAACTTGTACCAACTTAAACAGGTCTATTTTGTCTGTTTGTGGAAGGACAAGTTCACTTTCAATGTTTTCCTGGGTTACTTTTGTGATTCCCTCCTTTCCCGCTCCCATTTCACTCCACCGATAGGGACCCAGTTTGTCTCTAGACGACAGAACTGCAAATTCAAATGAACTGACATTTTGAGAATACAAATTCCTGATTTAAGTGAGGCCTTTTTGAGTTCAGATGGATATGTGATAACTGGAAGAAAGAGCTCTTGTTCCCAGACCAGCTACACCCTGCTGCCCCAAGCTGTGAAGTAATGGGACTGGCACAAGGAATAAACTTGGTTGAGATTTTCCTTGATGGGGTTTTGTGGCCACTGAGGAGGTTCCCTTGCAAGTAAATAAGTCTGGGTGGGAAAACACCTATATGTGAGGTTTTTATTGCCTCTCCCACAAAAATAAACCCCCTAGCAGTGGTGAAATAGAAAAAGACTGACCAAAGGTAAAAACTAGGATTCAGCACAAAGGCCTTTTGTGATTTTAGGTAAAATGTGCTCGTCTCTCCCACCAGCAGCTTGCATTGGAGGCTCTAATGTTTGGTCTCCTAACTCATTTGACCGAGCAGCCCAGAAAGTGAAAGGGAGGATTCATTAGCAAAGATTAAATTTTACCACCAGATTATGTCTGCCTTGCCAAACAGACTAGATTTACTTCTTGGCAGTCTCCTTGTGGGGTGTTCAAACACTAACAAAAAGTTTTGAAACCCATGTGATGTTTTTGGTGAGTGGAGTGTCTAAGCGAGCTTATGTGGAGGAATCAATATAACTATTGCTCCAGAGTTCTCAGAGAATTCATCAAGAGTCCCCATCTATTGCTGACTGATTTTGTTCTAAGAAAGGGATCTATCACTTCTAACTTATGACCTTGGCTTGTGATGTGAAGTGATGAAGCATTAGGTAGTTACACCTAAATGTACCTACCCTCAGGGCAGACAGAAGAGATCGATTTCTTTCCCAGGAACATATTTAAATCAACATCAGACAAAGTACTGTCTTTCCTCATTGAAAGGTACAAGTTCCCATTCTTATTTGGATAAGGGGGGTCTTTTAACAGTTACAGGTGAATGAATAAAAATCTAGAGGCTTTTTTCTCAAAAGCCCTTAACCAGTTTTATTTTTATAAATTCAACGCCAACTAGCCGGATTGCCATCATCTGTGATGTTGAACTGGCTGTGCAACCTGTACCAGGGAAGATGACTGACACTTCCACAGGCTGTAGTTTACGGATTATTTTAGTAACACGGGGGCTAAATCTCCGGGATCTTCTCATTTATTTTTTTCTTTTGCATTTCATCAATGTGTTTTAAGTCTCTATTCAAGTATCTTCAGATTCTTTCCACTTATGTGAAACACAGAATGATGGCAGGTGAGAGGAAATATACAGAGAGAATGACCACACTTCTCTTGCCTGAAATCTTTGCCCCCAAAATGGGAGATGATGATTCAATAGAACTACAATGGGCCGCCACTAGGTGAGTGCCCAGGTAGTCCTAAATTTTTTTTTTTTTGTCTATCAAGAGTGAAAGGGTATATCACCGCGACCCTCCTTACCCCAGAATGACTCAGGAGACAAGGGCCCCCCGCAAGTGATTTTATTATCTGAAAGAGAAAATGGCTGCCCCCAGAGAGAGGGAGCAGCAGCTCGTGGGTGAGGAAGCACGTTTTTAAGGAGTTAGGGGTAGGGTGTGTTCTGTGTTGGTGATTGGATTTTAAGGGGTGGGGGTCTTAGCGCAGCAGAATTTGCCTTCAAAGAGCATCAGGTGATACCTGCTAGTATTTTGTTGGTGATTAATTTCTAAAAGACAAACGGTTGAAGACTTGTGTTCATGCTAAGAAATCCACCATATGAACACAGGCAGGTACTCCATCAGTTGGGGCCTCTGCTTGGGCCCTCTTTTCTGGGAGTTTCCTAGCCTCCCTTTAGAGTCAGGCTCACCTGTACTTATTCTTGACCTGCTCTCCCTCCTTCCTTATCAAAGGTGATTGGTCCAAACATGGACACCTGATTTCAGCTAAACCAATCAGGGACCTTTTCTGGGAATTTAGACCTGAGGCAGAATCGATTTCTCTTTTAAGGGGAACTACATATAATATGTGAAATTGTGAGGGGTAGACAACTATGTGCCATGTCGATTGAGAGCAGAAAAGGCTGGTTTGTCCAGAAAGAAGAATTAAGTGGATTTGCAGAGGGAAACAGGAGAGAAAAGTGTGTAGATCTCCACTGGGTTCTATGCAGTACCCTTAAAACTGCTCCCTTTTGCTTAAGTGAAGTTAACTTTTTACCTATAGCCAAGAGGAGTCTTACCTACTTTTGTCTCACTCCTTAATAATGTGTGATACAGAAAATGTGAATTTGCCCAACCAGGTAATCTGGAGTACTGGACTCATAGGAATCACTTTGACCCTCTTCTTGCCGCTATCGTGGGAGGAATGCCCCTTGCTTTCTGTGCTGTCCGCCCCCTCCCACACCAGTCTCCTAAGGCTGCAGACAGATACAATGTGAGGATCAGGACAGACTGAGGTTTGGGAGCTCCCAAGAAGTTGGGGCTGTGTTAGAGCCCCTAGTTAGCTGGGGTGCCTAGCCATCATTTACAATACATTTTAAAAATAATATAACACATTCTATATTTTACTGTATTTCTTATACATTTATGTACTTTTTATTTCTATAACAAAACATTCTGAGTTCCAAATGACCAATTTACAGCATAACTTTAGGAATACAACCCTTAAAAAAATAGGGACTGTCTGTTTCATTTAATTTGTAGTGATGATTCACATCACAAAGGGTTCTTTAATACACACAAGGATTCCATTAATCAAGGTTTGATTGCATTTTAAGTACCTCCAACACATTTGAATTTTTCATTTTATATAATGACAGGGAGGAGACAACTTCAATTTAAATTTTAGGAGCCTCTGTGCATTGAATGGCCATTAGATGACAAAGCATTTGTGAAATGATACTGTTAAGCCAGTTAAGGAAAAATAACTTTTAAAGCATCCTTTAGCTTTTTTCAAATTTTACTTTGAGAAACAAACGTAATTTTGTATGCTTACAAAGGAGGCAATTAAAACTGATTCAATTATGAAGTAATAAGAGAAATATAGTTTGAAATCCTACAGGCACTGCATGGTGTGAGTTCTGGCTCTCTGTTTACATGCTGATGACCTTTGGCAAGGCACACATTTTTCTGAACCTTTCTTTTCTTATTTATAAAATAGAAGTTCTAGTAAGTCTTACCTGATTTCCTGTGAGACTCATGTGTGATTGTTCATGTGAAACTCTTTTGTAATCTTTAAAATATAAACATTATTTAGTATTATTGTGATAATCGAAATACTAACAACTTTTAATTATGACTGTGGAAATATCTATATCCATTTGGTCAAATCAGGGTTTATTGTGTGGCAGACACTACTTGAAAACAAATTTACCCTCTTATCTGAGATTATCTGCAAATATATATTTTTTAAGAGAATTTTAAAATTGTTTTAAGCATGTCTGATTTGAATTTATGCCTGTAGGGTCAGCTCCTTTTGGAGCAGAATTTGAGTCCTGGGTCCTCTCTCCAGCCTGTCTTGGTTTGACTGGTCCTCTCCTCTTCTCCTTGGCTCCAAACAATGAACTTGACCTTCCTTGACCAGGCTGGAAAGGTGGCCTCACTGCAGTCTGGACAATGCTGCAACAGAGATAATAGTATAGCTTGTATACGCTTGGCTCCTGTCAACATGACAAGCAAGACGGGAAGAGCAGTGGCTAGAACAGCTGGAGTAACCAGATCTGGGACTTACTTGGGTGGAGGGAGGAGTTGCTTGACATGGTCAAACACTGAATGCACCATCAGGTGGCAAACTCTTCCAAGCTCAGCTTGAAAGAACATTTCAGGTATTGTCCACATTGGGCACTCCAAAAATATATATACATATTTCTTGAATACAGGATAATACTGAGCACCATGAAATTTCCCCCCAAGCACTGCTAATTAGTTCTCTCATCATTTCCCAAATAATATTAATAGTATGGTTTGGGCTTCCGAGTGTTAAGCATTTATAGATTTACACAGATCTAAGTAAATAGAGAGAAACACTCGCCTTTTTAATTTTTACATAGATATTTTATTCTTTGGCATTATTTTAGCATCTTTTCATTTTTTCCCTATGTTTTTGAACAAAGTTGTAATTATAGTGTTCAAAGATAATTGTTTCTGGATTTTTTTTTCACTAAAATTAAAAAAAATGTTTATTTTTCACATTGGTATGTTGTCTTCATAAATACTATTTCAGATAGCTACCAAAAACTTCATTTGATATATTAAGCTTTCAGAGATACTTAACCAATCTCTTGTTAAATGTTTAGGAAACTTTGAATTTTCCCTTACCATAGATTATGCTGTAATTGGCAACTTTGCTAGATAGCTTGATGGTTAACTTCCAAGCTACACTTTTTGCTGTTCAGCATTTTCAAAAGAAGTGTATTTTTCTTTTCTTAGAGAATATTTATTAATTAGTTTATTTTTTCCATTGAAAATTTTTTTCCCTAGTCAAAAAACAAACAGTGGAAGTTTGTACTAAAGGATAAACAATTTGTTCACAGTACCCAAGTGAAGACTAAATCTCAGAAATCCCTTTTTCCTCTGGTCCAGCTGCATTGCTGAAGCAACAGGTACATTAGGCAGAACACAGTCTCATCTATCATCATTATCACAGTCATCTTCCTTATGATCATGCCAATGATGCATTTACTAGGAACCCCAAAGTGAAACCTGGCAATGAGACCTGCCCTTGTGTAGAGTAAGTGCAAAAATGGGTGGCAGTACCAATTCTTTTTAAGTATATGTAAACTTGCTATATGCTGGACATTGTGCTAGATGCTTGGGATGCAGTTAAATGATGAATACACAGGTGTCATGTTTGATTTGTCGAGGAACTAGTCAACTTTATTCTTCTGTTGAAATAAAGATCAATTTTATTCATCGGTTTTGTGGACTCTATTATTCAAACCCATATCTATTCAAGGCCCTTGTCTGTTTTGTTCCTCTTCAGTTGCTAATGGTGACCGGGCTCTAGGAATTTTCTCCATACTGGTTCGGCAAGTCCAGGCAGGTTCTGCCCCAAGGGCTTCTGGGTCAGAGTCCTTTAACAATCTACCCATCCCACCAAGTTTCTGACCATTCACCTTGGCTGGAATCAGTCACTCAGACCAAGTTAGCAATCAGAGGGGTGAGAAAGCAGCCTGTGGCTTTCCTAAGGCAAAAATGGCAGATGGCATAGTCGGGAAATAGCCACTGCGCTAGGCGTACAGGTACTGGGCAGTCCTGTGTGGAGAACATCGTGTTAGGCATTGGAAAAACAAAACAGTGAAGTCCTCTTAGACTTTCCCTCAGAGGGCTTGCAAGACCATTCAGGGGAGAAGTCTGTATGGAGTGCCAAAATTGTAGCAAATGGTTTGTAGGGGACCTGTAAACTGTTGAGAGTACACCAGTGGGTGCTGAAAAGGGAATGGGCAAATTCATGTCAGGAACATCATGCTCTCAACAAAGAATTGTGGCCTTAGGGGTAGCAATTCTCCATGAATTGGAAAATGTTTCTAGTCCTGCAGCTATTTACAATCCAGTTAGGGAGGCAGGACATACTGAGGTAAAAGTCAAAATATGATATAAGGGCATTATGTATGATTATGTGTCAAGGGGATGACAAAGACAAGAACAACTTGAATTTAGGGGAAATTAGGGAGAGATTAATGAACGCTTGACAATGGAGTATGGAGGGCAGGTCTGAGCAGGGTTCAAACAAAGAGAGATGTGTGGTAAAGGAATAGGCCAGACACGACTGGGTCAGAGCCTGGCTTGAGTAGCTGAAGGGTACGGTTGTGCATGAATCAAGGTCAGAAAGCTATTAAGATAGTAGCTTGTTGGGAATCCTTGGGCACTAGAGATTGATAGCTCAACCTTTATTCTTGTAGTTAAAAACTTGTGAGCCAGGGAATATCATCATGAAAATAGGAGGCCAAAAATGAAAGACTGGAGGCAGAGAAACCAGTTAGGAGGCCACTGTAAACATTTCCAGATAAGGTCCTATTGTGGGAGTGGGAAAGGGTGGATGTGAAGGACATGAAGCCACAGCACTTGCCACTGATTGGATGTAGACAGACAGGGAGGAGGGATGGATGACTCAGGAAAGTTTCAGTAGGAAGTATGTTGAAGGGAGGATTTGGAAGTAGGCATCAACTTCTGGTGGAAGGTCTTTGCAAGTGGAAAGAGATTTACATATAGGTGGGAATGTAGTCTCAGTTGATTATCTTATAAAAATGGGAGAGATAGGTCTGAGCAGGTATCACACTAATTTAAAATGACAATACAGGGAGCAACTCCTGGCTTAGACAGCATTGAAGGGAGGAAAAAACACTCTGATCTAGAATTACAAAGCCTGGGATGATTCCCAGTTTTTTTTTTGAATGAATTCATTACGTGTACTTGGACAAAATACTTTAAAACTCATTGGGCTAGTTTCTTTATCTGTAAAGTGGAGATATATAATAGATTATGTATTCTTTGGGTCTCCATGAGATTGAAATCACAGCCATTATTCACTGAGTGCTTTAGTATATAACAGAATTTGTGTTAACTTTATTTGCATTTTTTAATTTAATCCTTGGAGTGCCCATTCTACATTGTTTAAAAATCCCCAAACTCAGTGGTTTAAGACAATATCCATTGTATTTGCATGCAGTTCTGCAGTCTGAGATGGTCTAGGCTCTGCGGTTCTTTCACTGGTGTTGATGGTGGTCACTAACATGGTTGCAGTTAGCTGGAGGGCCACCTGGGAGCTAGTCTCAGCTCACATGCTGGGAGCTGGGCTTTCCCCTCTCTGCACATATCTCAGGGCTCTCCCCCTCCATGTAGTTTGTCCAGCAGGGTAGTTGGAATTCTTACCTAGAGGCTTAGATCTCCCAAAAGTAAAAAGCAGAAATTTCCACAGCTTCTTAAGGGTGAAGGTGGGAAACTAGCACAGCTTTACTGCTACATTTTCTTGGTTAAGACAAGCCCCTGGCCCAGTCTAGATTTAGGTGAAGGGAGTCTATAAGGGGTAACTAACAGAAAGAAGGTGGCCCATTAAAGGGCTGAAATGTCACAGACTACCACAATATTATCTCTACTTTGTAAATGAGTAATCTGTAACTTAGGGAGACTAAATTACTTGCCCAATGTAGAGAGCAGAGCTAGGTACTTGTGTTCTAACTCATGGGTCAACAGATTACATTTGTATAGTTTTTAAATTTAGCATCTGTGAGGTGGGTACTGTTATTGTCCCTAATATACAAAGGAGGAAACCTGGGAATAGAGAGTTAAGTGTTTTGCTTGAGGTGATTCAGATATGTTGCTCCAGAGATTATACATTTACCCACTGCACCATCCTGCCTTGTACTGGCAATACCGATGCATACAAGGCACCTGTAAGTGTTATTTAATCTGAAGCTATTGTTTGAAGGACTGAAGCAAATCTCTTCCATGATCCACTATCATATCTTATGGGCTGTTTGGGAACTGGGAGTTTTTCCGTTGAGTTATCTCATGATCAGGGCAATTTCCAAATCAGCCATCCATTCTTCCCCCCTCCAGTATCGATTTCTTGAAGCTTGGCAATCCTTGCCTATCCAATTTCAACCCTGATTCTCATCCGTTGGTTAGCCTCATGGCTCTCCCTCAACATTTTCTTCTGTTGTAGCAAGCCAGGTACTCTTTACAAAGCAGGACCTTCCTTTTGGGTGAGGACCTTCCTGGAGTAGGGCTGGCCTCAAGTTTCCATACTTTAATCATCAACAACTTTGTGGCTTCTGATTTGGTAACCATTTGGTCCCAGTCACTTCCTCTTGTTCCATATCTAATTTCCTTATTGTTGCAACTGTGGTCGCTTCTGACCATAGCTCGCAAAGATCTTATTTTCCATGGAGTGACCTGTAGGAGCTTTCCCCTTCCTTTGCTAGTCTTACAGGCAGAGGACTTGCTGCTCATGGAAACCCAGGGTTCTAGAATCTCCTGAAAGGAGCTATGCTCTGCTTATCTTTGAAGGTGATTTGTGTGGCTGTCTATCTTTCTAAGGCAGTTCTGATTTTTCCCACTTTGGGAGTCTGGAATCAGAGCACACCCTCAAGGACAGTGGGGTGTCCTTTGGTTGGCTCTCTTCTATTTTAGGCAGTGACAGGGTTCAGCCTTTCAGACAGTGGCCTCAAAATACTGCTTTGCTAAGACCAAGCTGTGTGGTGGCCTTGTCTTTCCTGTAAACTCCTCTCTTTCAAGGCAAGTTTAGATTTTCATTTTGACTTTTATCTCACCCTTATAAAAATTTTGAGGCAGAATACTTGTACTTAATACAATTCTATTTTATTTAACAAACGGGTATATAGCTGGGCTAGATGTTTTTCAAAATGCTTTATAGATCTTCCTTGATTTACCATGGCGTTACATCCTGATAAACCCATTATAAGTTGAAAATATCACAAGTCAAAAATGCATTTAATACACCTAACCTAGCTTAGCCTCGCCTACCTTAAACTGGCTCAGAACACTTACATTAGCCTACAGTTGGGCAAAATTATCTGACACAAAGCCTACTGTATAATGAAGTGTTGAATATCTCCTGTAATTTGTTGAATACTGTACTGAGTGTGAAAAACATAATGGTTGTGTGGGCACAGAATGGGTAAAGGGTGTCCATGGTTTGTGCTTGTGATCCTGTAGCTGTATGGGAGCTGCAGGTGGCTGGTTGCTGCACAGCATCAGGACAGAGTATCTTCATATTGCATGCTCAGGAGAAGATCAAAATTCAAAACTCCAAGTACAATTTGAGTGCATATAGCTTTCGCACCATCCTAAAGTCAAAAATCCTAAGTCGAACAACCTAAGTTAGGGACCACAGGTACATATGTTGCCTCATTTGACTTCATAAACTTATGTTTGAATTAAAGGGGTGGGGTTGGGGGATTTGTGTAGCCTGACTTACTGCTGCTGCTCTCCTTTCCTCCCACTGCACAGGGGACAAGGGCAAGAAGGAATTGAGCTGCCCCGGAGGGCAAGGCCTCTTCCTACTTCCCGCAGCTGTCTTGCCAGGCTAGATCTAGGGGCAGGGGGTCTGCACTCCTTGCCCAGATCCAGTCGGTGGGAGGGTGAGTGGTTTATTCCGGGCCATTGGCGCACCCTCTCTACTCACAGCCACCTGCTCCGGTTCCACGCCGGCTCCAGGCTCTCTGGAGGGCGGTCAGAGACATTCCAATCCTCCCACAACCCGCGCGGATGTCGCGGGGAGGAGGGTGAGATTGCTCCCCCTTTCCAGCACCCAGTTTTGACCAGGTTTCTTCTCAATCCCTAGTGACCTGATTCACCCGAGAGAAAACAGTTTTGATGAATGGACTGACGGTTGGTTGTTGACAACGCACCCAGTGACGAAGCCTCATCTCTAGCGACAGAGGCACTTTCTGGGCACCGTCTGCGCTCCAGTAGACAACTGAGAGCCAAACAGCCTAGATGCCTCCTCACCAGACCAAATATGGTCACAAGCTCTAAGCAGCCTCCCGTGGAAAGGCTGCTCTCGGTGGTGTCTCCCCGCGCCGGGGCGCACACGGGCCCGCCCTAAGGCCGAATCTCGGATCACTGCAGAGCTCCGGGGGCTCAGGCCTCTGCACGCGCACGAAGAGAGGGCGCGGCGCCCAGGACCCGCCCCTCCTGGGCCTGGGCCCCCCACCCGCGTGCCCTCCGCAGCCCTAGGCCTGGGTTTCGGTCCACAAGCCCTTGATTAAACAGGCTCGGGCCACTTTCCCTTAGATCCCGCCCCAAGTCCGTGGTAAACTCAAAGGAATGCAGATCCAGGGCTCTGCGGGAGACGTCCGCGCGACCAGGAGGAGCGGGTGGGGGGCACCCGTCTCCTCTTACCCTTAAAGTACCCATCAAGCCCAGGGTTTTCTGGAGCCGGGGTAGGGGAGGAGGAGGAAAGGGCGGGACGAGCGGGGGCAGGCAGGCTCAGGACTTGAAAGTTATGCATAATTCAACAGCTCAACTTTCGGGCCCGCCTCTTTCCTGGGAGTGGGAGTTTGCTCCAAACTTTGTTTATGGGACAGTCCGGGAGCCGCGGCGGCCGCGCTGTCTGCCTCTCCTCCGCCTCCTCCTCGTGGAGCGCGAACGCGTGAGGCCAGTTCCGGGGATGTGAGAGCCGAAGCCCCTCGGCTGCCAGGCACCGAGTCGGGTCGGGATTTGCCAGCGGGGCTCCGGCTCCAGCCCTGCGAGCTCGGCTCGCACCCGAGCAACCCAGGCCCGACAGCGAGTTCGGGCGGGACGGCGGCCGCCGCACGCCCAGACTCGGCTTCGCCGCGCGCCCAGGTAGTGCCCGCTGGAGCGAGCCCGCTTCCCCGGCACCGCTCCAGGGCGGCCGGCTCCTCCGGCTTCCGGAGTGGAGATGTCGTGGAGCTGGCTCGGGCTGAGACTTCTCTGGGGCGGGGGTGGGGTGGGGAGGGGCGGCTGCCTGACCTGGAAGGTTGCGACCTGTCCTTTGCCGCCCGCAGTTCGGCAATATCCCGAGAGCAGTTACCCCCGCCCCCTACCCGCCCTTCCCTCTCATCCTCCTCCTGGTAACTTCTTTGCTTCGAGAAAGTTGCATAATTTTCGAGGCCAGGAGGGACCCCTCCCCCACCCAGCTAGTCTTACCGCTGAGTGTCTGGGATCCCGAGGCGGACACCTATCTGTCTCCCCTTTTCTATTATCCTCCCGCACTTCCTCCCCCTGATTTGAAATAAAAGGCTGATTTGACCTTTCTCCTTGCAGAAGATGAATCCGGCCTCAGCGCCTCCGCTCCCGCCACCCGGGCAGCAAGTGATCCACGTCACGCAGGACCTAGACACCGACCTCGAAGCCCTCTTCAACTCGGTCATGAACCCCAAACCTAGCTCGTGGCGGAAGAAGATCTTGCCCGAGTCGTTCTTCAAGGAGCCTGACTCTGGCTCGCACTCGCGCCAGTCGAGCACCGACTCGTCCGGCGGCCACCCGGGGCCCCGGCTGGCCGGCGGCGCCCAGCACGTCCGCTCGCACTCGTCGCCGGCGTCCCTGCAGCTGGGCACCGGCGCGGGCGCGGCGGGCAGCCCCGCGCAGCAGCACGCGCACCTCCGCCAGCAGTCCTACGACGTGACCGACGAGCTGCCGCTGCCTCCGGGCTGGGAGATGACCTTCACGGCCACTGGCCAGAGGTACTTCCTCAAGTAAGTCAGCCTGGAGCCGGGGGTGCACAGAGTCACGATGGCGCGCGCTTCTCCGTCTGTGTGTGTGTGGAAGACAGTCTGTGTCCTTCCACGTTTCTTTTCCAGGGATCTGGGAAGTAGGGTACTCCAGGGATCTGGAGTCTATGGGTGCTGGAATTGTAAGGGTAAGGGATCAGAGCAGGGAGTCCAGCGAAGTTCTTCCAGGGTCCTCGAAGTCTTAAGAAGTAGTATTGGGGGGATTATTGTAGGTGATTTTGCCCTGAATCTGGAGTATTGCCACAGACTCCTGTCACAAACCTGTACCCTCTTCCCTGACCACTCTCAACTCATTCAGATACCCCAGAGTTTGTGGGTGGGTAGGATGTGACCCAAGATAAATGCGAAAAAATTTCTGAGGCTTGGGGAAGAGAGGGACTTCTGGTAGTGTAGGTGGTCTGCAGTCTCTCCATTCCTGGGAAAAGCAAGCTGGAAAAGTGAACCCTGCCTGGTAGGCCTTACTGCTCCTGGCTGGCTGACGAAATTATCACAAAACAGTGATGTAATTAGCAACTGCGTGGTGAAGTAGTTGTGGGCTGGAAAATCAATTATGTAGAAATTGGGTCAGGAGTTTCATTATGTTGCACTTGGTAACCTAAAATATCATCGAATCAGGAGGCTATTTTGTCATTCTTCTTCCCTTCACGTTGCTTCAAGCTTTCTGATGTCATGAATTTTAGATTTGATTTAGACTATACAGGAAAGTATTTTCACAGACAGAAGATCATTTCAATTGTGGTATTTTGAGATAATTAAATTCCGAGCTGGAGCTTGAAATGTACCTAGTGAGGTCATGGGGTGGGGGTTGAGGGGCTTAGGCTTTTGATGGCCTAAGTTGTGCCAGCTGGACCACTTGGTTCAAGATTGAGTGCACTGGCTGATGGGCTGACTGCACAAAGGGAAACTCCTCTCCTAAGAACTTGCCTTAGAATTTATTTTGAAGCCCATAATTCTTTGATGGAGCAGCCTTAGTTTACAAGTTATGTTACAATGTTATGGGCCATTTAAAAAATATTATCAAGCTTTTCCTTGACAGTCATCATTGATACTTGATTGCTGTCACAAGGCCCTAATAATGAATACACAAGTCTTTTACTTATCCTGGTGACCAATCATGCTTTTATTCCTTTCCTGTCCCAAAGCTGGTGACATCTTGTGCAAGGGGGAGTTCTCTGTTTTGTTTCTATGGTTGATGGAATGCTCAAAGTACTTGTCCTGAAAGAGTCTTGATGGTCATTTTATTCCACAACTGGTCTCTCGTCGTTGAGTGGTGGTGCTGGCATGTACTCAGTGTTCTGACTTCAAAATGACTGGTGGAATTCAAATGTGTGATGTAATAACATGCTTTTTTCTAAATGTGATATTTTTTGAAAGGATGACAGTTTCTATAGTGAATAAAGGTTCAAAATAGCGTCTTGTATTAAGTTTACTTAGGTAAATGCAGTTTTGTGTACTTTATTTTACTTTTTATGGAAGTAAATACAAATATAAAAGATCCAATAATTTACAATAATTTGGAGTATCTTTCCTGGTCCCAAATGATTTTTAAACTGTGTTTATGAGTATACACACACAAATATATATGATATCTGATCAGTATAACTGTGATTGTACTGATACACTGATATGAGAGCTGGACTTACCTAATATCCGAGGAAAGCTAGGACAAAAAGATCCCCAAACAAATGCAAAATGAACAAAAATCCCTTTTATACATGTCTTGAATGATTGGAGTAACTTAGCACTGTGTTTGTGTAAGTAGGGCATAAATGGAAGTCAGCCTTGAGTTCAGAGTTGCCTTGAGCCATCTGCCCATCCCCCAACCACCGCCACTCCTGGATCCACAGCAAAGTACATCTTCATCTCACTCTGCATAGTCAGTGAAGACGGCTGTAAAAAAGCATAGGTATAGGCTAACCTGTTGGATATCGCTGGAAAATTTTTGGCAGGTAGCTAAGGGAATTTAAGAAATTAAGTCATCTTGACTATTGTCTTTCAAGGTAAACAGTCTGCCAAGAGTTCTCTGTTTCTTTTGAAGTTTTGTTTAAAGTCGTAATAAGGTAAATGTTATATGTCACACTTTTTTACACAGTCTCAAAAAGGGAGTGTATTCTGGTGCATAAAGTAGAAGCTTGAAAAATGGTGGCAACTGACCCTGAATTAGTTTTCATAAAATCTACTCATTACTTTTCAACATTATCTGTGAAATGGAGCTAGCAGTAGAATCCTATTCTTGATTCTGTCAGCAGTTGAAGGCGTTATAATTCAGAAATCAAAGTATTTTAGAGTTAACAAGGGTCAGTTTTGTGGTGGGCGGGGATCCCAGGTGACGACGTGACTTTGGGAAAGGCCTGCGGTTATTTAATGGCAGACTCTGGACTGGACCTCTACTCTGTTGCCATCTACTTATGGAGCAGTTTTCCATTTTCCTCACTTGCACATTTATCGCCATGTTACTTCCCCAGCTGAACAATGAGTTTTATGGTAAACAATATGGTAAACAAAGGCTGGACATCTAAGAAGCTTTAAAAAGCTTTTTGTCATAATCTTGGGTAAGATTGTTCCTAGGTATATGATGCATTCACTTTCCAGTACCTCTTACTCGGTGCCTTTCCTGAGTTGTTTGGGCATTCCATAGCATGTAACAACAGAAAGGACTGACTGTTGGAACACATGGCCTTTGAAAACTACTGCCTTGTTCCTCCTGTCCTCTAAAGCTCCTAAGTCAGCCTGGGATATGTAGGTGTTGGACTATTAGCAACCTGGCACTGTGACTTTGAACATCAATCGCCTTGAAATTTGAAAACATTTCTGGGTATAAATGGGATATACATGTTTATTGTACATAAGCCAGAAAATAGAAAATGATAAAGGAAAAAAGTGATCTGGCTTCTGTAGAACCTTCCATTCTTGTAAAAAAATTTTATTTGAATAACATAGTCTATAAGAAAAAAAAATTTTAGCCTCACTCTTAAATGAAATTTCAGTTGTCACATTGGACTGCCAGTCCCAATTTTGAGTAGTAATTTTAGTGTTTTGCCTTTCCTGAAATGTGTGGTAGAAAATTATTTTTGTCAAAGTGGTCTCTGCACTTGGTAACAAGTCCAGTGCTACAGAAGGACCTTTGTAGAAAAACAATGCTTTCCTTCACCTCCTCAAGGCTCACAGAGGGAACCTTTAATTTTTTAAAATTGTTTCTATATTTAATTATTAGATTGTTACCTCCTTAACCCTAAGTAATATGCTTTTACTACTATTTTTGGACTTATCAACTTAACTTCTGATAGATAAGTGAGAATGTAGCTCCTTTAACTGCATTTTCTTCCTCTCCCAAATTTGATATTCATATATTTTTAGTTTGTCAGTTAGGCCACCCCTCTGTTACTTTTTTTGTCAGTTTTTAACAGTATTTCTTTTTTTTAAAAATTTTTATTAAGGTATTATTAATATACACTTTCATGAAGGTTCCACATGAAAAAACAATGTGGTTACTACATTTACCCATATTACCAAGTCCCCACCCATACCCCACTGCAGTCACTCCATCAGTGTAGTAAGAAGCCACAGATTCACCATGTGCCTTCTCTGTGCTAGTTTTCCCTGTGATCCACCATACCATGTTAACAGTATTTCTTGACTGTCCATTTTGTAAATAAAGGGGGTTTAGATGCTGTTTGCTATAATTTGCTTCTTAGTTAACAACACCTTAGCATTCCAAAGTGCTGAACCCATAACAAAGTTTTGTACCTTGCTCAAGAATTGACCTTTTATTCATAAATTATTTTTAAAGTTGAAACTCCATGGGCAAATTTATATTATTATAGTTCTGTTAAGTATAATTCAGTGTCTTGTATATTAAGATTGGATTTAGACTTGAACACTGGGTCTGGTGCCAGGACCTTCTGGCCAACAAAGGAGCATATATTCAGGACCGAAGTCAAAGGGATTCTCTGTTTTCACGTTTTATCTGCTGTTTATATTTATGTTGTCGTTTTAGTTCTTTCATACTTCGGCCTTGATTTTCTTAAACATTTTTTCAAGTATTTCACATTGCCTTCTCATGTGTTTATCTATCATTTGCCTTTATTGTGATCTGAAAATTTTCTGGGCTCTTAATCCCATCAGTTCTATCAAGTCTTATTTCCCTAAACTTTTTTTATGCCCAGATTCTTTCATCTTTCTGTGCCATTCTGGATTCTGATTGTTTTTGAGATTTACCACAGAGCTGTCATCTGGGACTTCACTTCGATTCATGACTGGGAGTGCTGTTTCCTTGCCTCATGTCTCTTATGTTTTTTGGTTTATGCCCTCAATTTGCTGGTGTACATGCTTGAGTAAAGTATTAAGAAATGTCTGTGGGAGGTAAATTTTTCAAATCCTTTACAATTTGAAAATATTTTGCCAGTTGTTTTAAATTTCTTTTCTTAAAAATGGACTGGCTTGTTTTTTCTTTTTACCTTTGGGTAACAATATAATGTAGTTGTTTTCATGAAAGGTGTTTTGTCATTGAAAAGAAAATTCCCTGCTTTCTCAGTTTCCCTGTCTATAAAATGAGGATACTGGTATTTTGAAGAAGTAGATGAGATAACATACTAAGTTCATGGCACATAGTAGACTTTTGGTACAAGTTCATTCTTGCCTCCCTTGCCTTGACTCTTGGTTATAGTTAGGGCTCTGAATGACAACCTGGGTCTGGAATTGAAAGTTAGTTATTTAAATTTAAAATAAGGACTGAGAGTCAATTTTCCTTTGAAAAAACCTAAATAGGATTGCCCACCCTTGATACCCTTTCGCTTCATCATCTTGGCCCAATCTCTTTTTAGGAGGGTCTACTTATTTTTTGGAATCTGGCTTGTAGCTAATAGTTGAGCTGATATTGTGTATCCGATGGGGGACCTAGAGATGGGGATGGAATCGAGAAGTGGGGAGAGATGAGGAGGGGAGGTAATTGACAGTTGTTGATG